TTCATGAAGAAGGGGGCAACGGGGAGGAAGAAATGGCTGTTTGTTAATGTTGCCTTAAGCTAAACATTAATGATGTGCAACACTTAAGACGCTTGCGTGCCTCAATTACGTCCACCAAGCTCACGTTGCCTTTCCAATTACATAGCCTAAAAAATGAGGTACGTGTGAAGAGACTGCTGCCTGCTCATTACCTCTCTCTGCGAGTAGTAATTCTGCTTTCTTTCAGCTGCTTGGGTGTCAGGCGTACTCACATACCCAGGGTTTCAAACAGCAACAGCCAAACAGCGCAAACGCACCACGCGGCGCAGGGACGGAGTTTTTGTGAAAATGGATTTTAACCAGGGAAATAATGTGTGATGTGAGCAGCAAGCCGGGCTTAGCGCCAGAGATGTCGTTCTGCAAACATGGAGGTGAAGCTTGGGAAGGCTCGAAATGTTGTCTGGTGTCTGAGGGTGTTGCTTACTGACTGGTGCTGACCTTGAAGGAAGGGACCGAGAACTACCCAGATACATGATTGTATTATGAATGTTAGTGGTACCTTTCTAGTGGGACTCTGCTACTCCTTCTGCAGAAAGCTCACTTTTTCTGTTTCTGATCATTCTGTCAGGTTATACAACATGCCCTTCTAATATAAAACAAAAATCAAGTATGGTTCAGAAAAAAGTCTCCTTTTTATTGCACTAGACACACAGAGGCTTGAAATTATTTTGGAAACCAGAAATTGTTTTGTTTACCCAGTCCATTTTTATTATTATCATTAAGTGGAAAAAAACTGACAGACAAAAATTCCTTCAAAATTGTGCAATAATAACATAGCAGAAATCAGTGAATGAAGAAAAAAAAAAAGACACAGAGTAGCAATTCAAATAGTATTAAACTTCACTTAAGGAACCAGATTAGAAGTTGACATTACCTCTAAAAAACTCATTATAGACTGGCTGCTTGTAGACTGTTGCACGTTTTGAAGGATTAATTATAAATGTTATAGCTAGTTCCAGTAATGAAGATGCTCTCTGGGTCCAAGAGTAACTAACTCAATTGCATCATTTCCCTTCTGAAGTCCATTTGAAGGAGACTTGAAAGTTGTTTTAGAAAATGTTATTTTGGTCTTTCCTGACCACAGTTCTACATTTCCACCGGCAAATTAGTGACGTTCGTCATTAAATACTTCTCTGTCCCTACAAAGAGATTTCAAGCATGCAGATCCTAAGACTGCAGTCTGCGCTGCGAGGAAAGGGTGTGCTGCTCGGGGAGAGTCGCTGGCTGGGGTGAGGTTTCCCAGGTGGCCGATGTGAGTTTGGGGCTGCTTTTGGTGACTCTAGAACAGGATTAGTAAATAATCCTGCCTTGTCAGTTGTCTGGGCAAGACAGATCCCTCTGCACCCAGACAGGAGCTTTCAAGTCACTTCTCCCAGGGTTTCTAGAAACCAGCAGGAAGCAACACCATTTTGTGACCAAGAAGATGACCTGAAAACACAAAGGTCCTTTGGTCACGAGGCCAAAAGACAATGGCGTGGATGTTGGCAGCCAGCGTTGTCACGGCACGTGCTCCCTCACGCTCGTCTGCTCCCTCCTCCCCTTTCTGGCTGGGTATGCACTCCTATACATCTATATGTAATTTGATCTCTGTCCAAGGAAAACAGTCTTTTTCCCAGCACTAGATCTGAAGCGCTCTCCTGCTAATGCTGTGTCAAGGTAGGAGCACATGGAACAAGTTACGGCAGGGTTAGCCGGGGCGTGAACTTACAGCACGCCAGCTATTCTGCAGATTAAATACCTGCATGCACGGTCTTCCCCTGCGGTCAACACGACATGCTTCACCCCTCTCTGAAATTCCCCTTAGCGTTTACCTGGGGTACAGGCCGTCGGCCGAGCAGCAGAGGAGCTGTAAGCTCATGCTCCGGCTGGCTCCTGTGCGCTCCCGGAGCGGGTGCCGGGCTCCGCGGTCGTGTGTGCAGGTCGCTGCGGGGGCGAGCAGCACGCCGCAGCCATTTTATGGAGGAGGCGGCTGATGGACGAAGGAGTGATGTGATTTATTCAGGCTGAAAGAATCGCTTTTTTGACCTTGAATGAGTGTTCAAGCCTGGAAAATGGCACCTCCTTGTCCTTTCTTGTAAAAACCCCCACCCCAAAACCCACACACCCTCAAAAAAACCCAAGCCAAAGCAAAACGAAGCACGGTCCAAAACCCCACCAGATTTTACTGTTCAACCTTAGTCTTTTGTTCAAATGGACTTAAGAGTACCAGCAAGCATCTGCAGTGAAATCTGAAATAGATGCAAACACAAATTAACTGGAAGAAGTTCCTCCTAACCAGGGTACTTCCCATACCCCTTTTTTTCCTTACGGATCCAAACATTTCACTGGGTTGCTACGAGGTAAACCCAAGTCACTTCCCAAAAGTTAAGGTAATGAGTCATGTCACATTGCATAAGGCTACTGAAACAAAACCAGAACAAAATATGCATCCACATCCATTTACCATATTTACACCAGAACCCTCCCACCCCCACATACATTTCCATGAACAAGATCCCATGCTTCAAAAGTTCATAAAAATATACAATTTACCAGAACTGCATCTATCCTGCTCGCTCCCCGCCTGGGGCATAGACTTCTCTCTATATAAAATACACTAGCCCTGTGAAGTTGCTTTGCTGAGAGCACAGTGGTGATTTTTGCAATGAAGGGAAAGCCTCGGGAGGGTAGGGCGTGCCTGGCCGTTACAGTACTGTCCACGTAAGGTAAATTCAGCCCTGCACAAAGCCTGCCTGCTGCAGTGCCCCCAAGCCCCTGTGCAACGCAGGGGCGACGCTGCAGACCCAGCGCAGAGGGCTCGGTTCCGCCCACGTTGCGTTAGCGAGGCACAGGTAACGGGGAGCGTGAATGGACTAGTCCAACAAAATGCTTTGCTGGCAATAGACTGAGCTCCGTAGGAGGGTGGCTGAGCCACAAAGGAGCCTTTCAGAGTGACCAGAAGTGACCTGTCCCGCAGCTGATGCTTGAAAGCATCCAACCACGGGATTTCTGCAGAATATAAAGTGGTTACAAGGGTCCCCCTTGGCATCTGTCTTCCAGCTAGAGACATGAGATAGGCTAAATTCCACTTGCCGTACTCGAGCAGGATTTACCCTGGGGGAGTAAAGTAGCGGTATTTAACCAACAGTAATTCTCACCAGAGAGGTTACCATCTTCTGGGATGCTATACTGTAGTTTTCCATTACCTGTGCCAGAAATATTTGCTTAATAAGGAAGGGGTTCAATAGTCATTATCTCTGCGTTTAGGCTTTCCTTTCTGTATCAAATCCTTTGATTTATATCTTTAGAATAGTTTAGCCTCTGGGTCAGATTCTGGTCTCTCTCTGTAGCTGTAATTTTAGCCAAATGGAGCTATACACGCTGGGTTGATTCACTCAAAATTTTTACTCCTGAACAGCACCTGACCCACTAACAAGGTAAAAATATTGCATCTCTGTAAGCTCGCTGCTACTTATAAAAATCTGATTATAGTTTGGTCCCAGGTTTGGGGGGAAAAAACTGTCACCGGGAATGACAACACCAGTAATTGAAAATAGAGTTAGTATTTCTATAGAGTATCAAACCGTACAGAACTTCAACTTTTTATACATTTTCTGTATGTGAAATTAAATGGATCAGTCATATATCAAAACATACTTGGCCTCTCTCATTTCATCTGTAGGAAGACTGCAATTATAACTTAATTTACACTGCAAAAATACTTTTGGTTTAAACAAAGAAAACAGTGTGACTAAACAGTGTGTTTTACTGGTGCGAAGCTTTGCATATATAGAGCACGGACAGGCGTGACCCGTGAACATCCGCTCGTGTCGTCACTCTTGGGTTGGCAAGTAGTTGGATTTGTGGCGAGATTCACATTTTGCTATCACAAACAAAGCTTGACAATGGTAACCAGACATTTCTACTGCTTAGCTCTGTGGACAGTATTATGTCTACTGGAAACGTGAGGTGACTAGTAATGGGAAAATAATATATATGCATATATATATGTTACTTCTAAAGCTGAAGGTACAACTACAGCTACTTTTAGGAAATGCTAATGAAGGAGGATCGAATCCCTGCTGTAAACCAAATGAATTTAGACGGTTAGTAATTACAGCTCTATATGCCTGTGGAAAATCTGTATGCGAAGCTGTTTCCTAGTTGCGCACGGTGGAGGCTCCCCCTTCCGTCCCACCGACATAGTAGCATCTTAGAGAAGCTCCACAGAGGAAAGGTGGCCTGATTAGCAGGGAACTGTGTTTTAAGGTGTGCGCTTTAACTTCAGGTAGTGGCAATTTTTTTCAGTGGCATTACTGACGTAAGCTACAGATTAATTAGGCCATGGGTGATGGGCACGGTCAGCAGCTCGGTAACTGCAGGTGCCCTCCGAAGGGGTTTGGGCAGCGGTGGGAGGGTAGGGCACGGCATGGACTGTTGTTACTGCACACCTGAATGCGAGGGTTGAAACTGCAACGCCTGGGCGCTTGCACAGTGCTGCAAAAGGATTCTGCAGTGCTGCCGCCCGGGGGTACCCTCTCTCCCACTGGCAGAACCCCAGAAACCCTCCTGCTGACGGCCCGTGGGGTGTCATACCCATGTGCAAGGGTGTGCATGACCCCCGGCACCCTGGTTGGGTAGGGCCCAGATGCTTTTGGGTTATAGGTACGGCAGCAGGAAGCCAAACTCCTACGTAAAGCATGTGCTGCAGTATCTTGACTTGGGCTCTGAGACTGCTGAAAGATTGTGTCTTTTAATAAGGGGGGAAAAAATATGTAAAAATAAGGATTTTTATTATCATGGCAAGAACAATGATGGGGATGCCAAGAACTACTGCCTTGCAAGATAAAGTGGCACATGTTCTACACAATAATGTGTACAATGTCTGACGACTTTGGAAATCTGTTCTCAAGCAGATTTCCCAATAAATTAACACAACAAATATACTTTCATATAAAACAAAGTCCAAAGGATTTTTTTAAAAAGTAAAAGCAAAACCTTCAGGGACTATATTACTTATCTCTCTCTACATATATAATCTCCTGAAATTTTTTTAAATAAATTTATTCTTGTCTTAGAAAAATAAAACGAGTAGCCAATTTAGTCAACAGAAAGTATCTCACAGACTTAAAAGCATGCCCAGCAAGCATAGCCTTGTAAGACTAAATTAATGTTAAATCAAAGCAATTTGTTACTAAACCAACCTAGTCTGCAATTCACAGTTGATTACTACAAAGTGTATTTTTAAAATTTTTTTTGGCCCATATAAAAATAACATATTGCAACTCAAAGTGCATTTTTAAAATAAACAATCAACTATTTTTATCAAATAAAATATTTACATCATTTGGTTTTTACAGTCAGAAATGCGCTTCATGCGATGACCATGGGAACATCATCTGAAAATCCAGTTATCATTGGGGCTTCGTCATCCTCATCTCCTGAAAAACAAACCCAGAGTGCTATTATGCTGCCCTCAGCATTTCACAGGGCATGACTGAACAGGCTACCGAAGCTGGCCACAAAACTGCCCTCAAACCCAGTATATTGTGGCCTTGCTCATGCTCTTACCTGGTTGTTATATCTGTTATATTCAGATTTTAACCGATTTGAGGGAGCGGTTTAAGTTGCTAAAAACATTTATACTGGGCCAGCTTTGTACTCTTAGGACAGGATCAAATCCATAGAGATTTTTATGCCAAAGGTGGCCCAAAGCATGATAGAGAAGTTAGGTCTTGCACTGATTTCACATCCTTAAAGCTGTCCTGAAATGCCACTGTGTAAAACCAGGGCTACGTACCTAAATCATCTCCCGAGGAGAATATGGCCGAGCCCAGGCGGGAGCTGTAGTGGCTGTTGGCAAAGGCAGTGAAGCTGTTCTGCAGGCGTCTGTGCCTCATGTACAGCACCACGAAGCCAATCCCCAGGGTCACCAGCAGCAGGAACAGCACCGGTACCACGATGGCAGCGACGTCTGTGGATCTACCGGTTTTTGCTGCAGAGGAGTCTTCACCTACAGATGAGGGAGGGAAAGAAGTGCCATTTGCAACTGATAGCACATTTCTCTAGTGAGTTTGTGAGGCTTTCGTTAGTCTTTGTTAAGGAGGATGGGGAAAATGCCAGGGACTTACCAGTTCCTAGTTCATCATAGAGAAGTGTGGCCGGCTCGCCGCACATCTGCCCGCTGTACAGGCACCTGGCCTGAACGGTGAATGAATAGTTGTGACCTATCTTCAGGTTGGAAACTTTGAAGAAGTTTTCTGTGGTATTCCCAAGATAAGCAGTGATGTTCATCAAGCTGTCAAACATGTGAATCTCGTAACCCTGAGAGTTGTGAAAACAAAGACACAAACGCCAAATCACTCGGCTGCAGAGGTCATGTTTGCTCCTTCTGAGAGGGCTTTTAAACTTCTTTTTCCTCCTGAATCTAGCTTTGATGAAATGTGTTGGGCTATCAGCCGGGAAAGAGCAATGTGGAGCCTCCTCCAGGCACCCATCAGTGTGCATTGACCTTGGCCAGTTCAGGGAGGAGAGAGGATTTTGGTCTGTCTGGTTCACTCTGTTCTTAGCATCCACCCAAGGCCACCCAAAACCCAGAGTCCAGTAACGGTGACGGCTTTTGTGGCACAGTTTGCTACCTGCGCGGGCCCTGACAGAGAACATGTCACTGATTTTCTATCAAAGTCTAAATCATGACAATTCTCAGACGCTACCCATGTGCTTCCCGGAACAGCGGGGCAGTGTCCTATTCCCAGTCCTTTCAACATGACAGCTGACCTTTTCCAAGCAGATAATTACGTTCCTAAAAGGTGATCGATTGGATCTATCAGCTTTAGTGCCTTAGTCATGATACGAACTGAAGGACACTTAGGAGAGCAGTGCGTACTGGTGTGTTTTAAAGAGTCTGTGAAAGGAGCCTTGCAAACAACTCTGCTCTAGGTTTTTCTGAAACACTGCCCGTAGACAGGAGAGACAGCGCAACTTACCCGGCTTTCATTGAAATTACTTTCCTTTAATGCCAAACTCTTCCAAAAAAGCAGAATATGGTCATTTTCTGTTATAATTTTTAAGGCGTCTGGTGCAGACAGTGGAACTGTAAATGAGAAAAAATGGCAGGCGGGTTAGGTTTTAACACTGATGGCACTTTTCTTTTGGCTGAGAAACAGCAATGGGCTCACTTCTGAAACTTAGTATTTTTTAGGGATCAGCACAATACTCCGCTTAGAAAAGGGCTGTACTGGAGGAGAGGATACTGTGGCACGAAAGCTGGTAGGAGTTTTTCAGTGGGTTTTTATGGTAGGACCGTAACGGTACTTCACGGTGTCTACACAGCCAGCCAAACAGGCGTCATTCCCATCTTCATCTCGGCAGGAGAAAAACTCCCTGGCCATCGTTTGAGAGGCTTCCTCTACGCTGCTGCTGTTTGGGGGTTTAACTGCCTTCCCTGGGAGCTGCAGGGAGGCCTCTCGGAATTGGGTTTTGGCCGTGGGAGAGGACTAAGTGATCCAGAAACACTCCTGCAGCCTCCAACCAGCGCAGGGGTGGGGCGAATGGTGTGCGGGATGGGCGCGGGATCCCCCCCAGTGGACAGTGCTGCAAGGACCCACCCTGGCGCCCACCCAGCAGTACTCTTTCCTTTACCTGTGTTGATCTTCATGCTGGATTCTTTGCTCATATTTCCCAGTTGAACAACCACGTGGTATTTGCCTCCCGGTTCAAGTTTCTTAATGGTGTACTCCACCGTGCTGTTCCGGGTTTTCACTTTGTAGATTTTATCTGTTTTTCTTACTAAATCTTTAACTGCAACAGCATATAACTGGAGGGGGAGGAAAGGCACACATATTGAAAGATCTTACTTTCCTGCAGATTTGCTAGCAATCTCATACAATGGTAGGACATTAGATGTGGGGGGACAAAATTTAAATGAAACCATGCCTGCACTCTACAGAAAGCCTGGGAAGTAAAATTTCAAGCCTCTTGCTGGACTAGCTGGATCCCTGCCCGAGGTCAGTATTTACAGATACAGAAAATGCAGTTACTGGAACAGATGAGGGCAGGAGGAAAATCTCAGGTTGTATTTCTTAATGAATCAGAAGGATGCAGTGCAAACTCCTGCCCTGTCAAAGTTTCCAGTTTTGCCGGGAAGATTTATACCTTTAAACCTTTACCGTTAAAGTCTCTGGACCAGAATAGGAGCGGAAAGCTTGCTGAGAAAATGACTCGCCTTCAACAGAGCGAGACCTGACTGTATGCCAGCGTGCCAGAAAACAGAACCGGGCTTTGTGGGGGCTGCGCCGGCGCGGCTGGAGTGGGAGGCAGAGCCCGCAGCCCAGCTGGCTCCTTGCCCGTCCCGTCGGCCTGCGGGCTGTGCTCAGGCACCGGCCAGCCCGGCTCCAGGGCAAAACTGAAGCCCAGAAAGGTATTTTAGCACATGCACGAGTTTGCTTTCAGACTCAGTCAGCAGCAGATAGCCCAGACCCGACTCTTGAAACGCAGCGTGAATCTTATAGGCCTGAGCTAATGGCCAGTAATGTGAAGAGAGGAAATGCAGGTCCCGGAGGTGTCAGCATCTTGATGACAACTATTTAGGTGGAGGGCAGACCTGATTTCAGACTCAGTTCTCATAGAATCATAGAATCATTAAGGTTGGAAAAGACCTCTAAGATCATCGAGTCCAACCGTCAACCCAACACCCCCATGCCCACTAAACCATGTCCCTAAGCGCCTCATCTACACGTCTTTTAACTACTTCCAGGGATGGCGATTCACTAACTTCCCTGGGCAGCCTGTGCCAAGGCCTGACCACTCTTTCAGTAAAGACATTTTTCCTAATGTCCAGTCTAAACCTCCCTTGGCGCAACTTGAGGCCATTTCCATCAGCAGTAGGGCAGGGATCTCTTTGAGCCAGGGTTTTGCGCGCAAAGGGACAGGAGAAGGCGCTGCGAGATATTACCATGTCCTGGTCGGGCGAATCGTAGGGCGATTCCCACTTAATGAGTGCGAACGTCTTTCCGGTGTGCACCGAGTGGAGGTGCCGAGGGGGAAGCCGGTTATCAGGGATCATCTTCACCACAACGTAGTCGGACGGTGGCCCTTGGTAGGGAGACATCACACGGACCTTGAAGGGATGACACAGTGGTTAATACTGTGCCTGCACCCTTCGGTACCAAACTACAGCCCGCAATGCAGGTAGGGGAGGGAACAGAAGAGGAGCCTACCAGAAACAGGTACTGCTCGTCCCGCTGCACGATCACAGTGATGTTGTGGGAGGTCGTGGTGGTGTTGTGAGGGCTTCTGTACAGCTCTAGGAAGGATGTGGCGTAGAAGATGCCATAGACCTGCAGAGGAAGAGCACAACAGGGACGGTACAGATTTTGGCAAGGGCCGGAGCTCCCACCCAAACTTTCACTGGCTGTTGCTTTTTAGGGACAGGATGCAAAACCCCTTTTTCCTCTGGGCACTCTCTCCTGCCCAAGTTCAGGTTCAGTCTGCCCACTCACCGCTGCACTCCCCACCCTAAAATCCTGGGCTCAGCTCTGATAACACAGCAGTCAAGTGAAAGACCACCAGAGCATCATGCTATCTGTGTTTCAGCCCCTTCTCCACTGGATCAGTGGCTGAACAAATAGACAAGAAGGCGGCTTGCCTTGCTTCTGTTTACGGGGCAGTAGGCACTTTCCCTTGTTTTTTGAGCATAGTATTTTCAGGGCCTTGCAATTCAATCCCTACAAATAATCCTGTTTTAAGATTTTGCTTGTCTTGAGGCTCTGAGCTAGACCCCATCCTGGCTGGTGAGAAAAGAGAGTCGGTGCCTTACGACATTCCTCGGTCCGGTCCAGCTGCACTCCACCGCAGTCTGGTTGATGGCTTTGGCTTTGAGACTTGGTGAGGCAGGTCTTGTCCCACTGGTCACCACATGTACAAAAGACAGAGGGCTGTCACCCAGCTCCGTCTTAGCCCAAGCAGAAATTTCATAGGGGGTGTGTGCTGTCAAATTTGCCACTGAGCAAGAAGAGAAACGTGCACTATTAGGTGAGGCAAAGTACTGCAATGGCAGGGTGAGAGCACTAGGAAATGGTCAGCAGCATCAAACAATCTTAGACAGGAGCCTGCCTCTCTTGGTTTGTGTTTTGATTCATTTTGAGTCATTTCCTTCATACAGAAGCACCTGCAACTCTGGTATCTAACCTAGCCTGTGCTCTTCTGTATTGTGATGCTTTCCCATATCTAGGCTGTGCACACCAGTGATTTTTCCAAACCAGAAAGTAATCTGATTAATAGGGACACGTACTGTATACAAGCCCAAGAAATTGTTGACCTTTGGCAGAGTAGATAAGGAACCACAAACAAAATCCCATGTGATGAGAAAAGGCTAGCGCAGCTCTGGAGGATAAATCCCAGAGCCGCTTGAAATCTCCACGTCCTAAGAAGAGAGGCCAAGGATTTGCTGGTTTGTCCTCTCAAGATTTATTCTTTCCTAAACAGAAACTACTCAGTTGCAAAAAAAGGGGAAAAAAAAAGTAAAACCTTCTGTAAAACCTTCCGCTTGGTGTTGACGAAAGCAGAATTTTACACTTTGCACAGAATTTACCTTTTTGGATGGACTTTTCTCCTTCTATGATCAGAGTTCTTCTTTCCTGCCTGTGTGTATCAAATGTCCAGTAGATGTTCACAACGTAACCGCTGACCTGTCAAGCAGCAAGGGCACACAATAAGAACTATCAGTTCAGCTGGTTTTGCATGCAGTGAAAGACTCACTGGTGAAAGTCTTTGCATTGTATTTCCCACCCTAATTAAGAGAGCTGGGATGGCTGATGAGTAGTAAGAAATGATTTGGCATGAAATAACTACTTTCAAAAAGTAATTGCAATACTGAAATGGGTGACAGCTTGTCCCATCCAGTATTCACCCATTGCAGGCCTTTTTTTCTGTATTCTAGTTCCAGAAGTAAAGGTAAAAATTTTACCTTGATATTAGTAGTCATTTTTAGGCTGAAACTTATGGAGTCCTCGCTGTAGCTCTCAATGTGTATGACAGGTGGAGGAATGACTGGAAGAAAGAAAGGGAGAAACAGCTGTTACTGCAGCACAAAGAAATACAAACACTTACCGAGAGGGGACAGGTAAAATACGGCCTTTCATTATGACAATCATCTCTCAGACAATTATCCCCCATTTTTCCAGCCCCAACCTTGCCTGTCTCCAAGACATGTGCCCCTCAGAGAAGGCACCGACATGCTGTACCTCCACCATTTTTTCAGTCAACCATCTAAAAGCTGCCTTATCTGTGCCTTCCTCAGCCAGGCTGGAAGCAGGGAGGCCTGGACACAGGTATTTTACTTCTGACCTCAGTGGGACAAGCTCATATCACAGTTAACTGCTTCTGGCCTTCAGAGGAACTGGTGAGGGAGGTCAGGAGCTACCTCTGGGGACAGCTGCCAAACGCTCATGCAAAACCTGAAGTGAAAGTTATTACGGTTCTTTCTACCTGTTTTTCTAACCATCAGGTACTCATGTACTTCATATTATCTGATTCCTGCAATTTTAGTAGCACGGTGTTTTCCTTCCTTCCTTTGTCAACATAGTGAGGATGAACTTTTACCTAACAAATTAGTGGACAATTTTGACATCAGAATATAGGTTTGGAAGAAAAACTTGGCACGAATACAAATGATTTCAAAAGACTTCTCTAAAAACAGTTTGGAGAGAAATGATTTACTGTGTTGTTTGAATTTATCTACTGTAATGTTGTGATAGTTCATGGGAGCCTTAGAGGTCTTTTAGTGGTCTAACCTACAGGAGATGCAGAAACCATCATAATTGTAACGTAAGAGGGAGAGGAATCCTTTCAGCCAGTGACAGCAGAGGAGTAAGTTGTAATGTGTCTCGCCTACGCGAAGGTAGGATCTAGCCTACACAAGTCAGAGGGAATCCATCTGCAGTCCAGGAGAGAGGAGCACCTTCTGGACAGGCTTCTCGCCCACTTCCAGGGCAGTACCTCCATCCTACGGGCCACAGAGTTCAGAGGAAGAGTCAGCAACCCGTTCAGACTTGCCACTGAACTTTGAGGCAGATCAAGTTAAGCAAAATGGTACAGCCAAGTTGTTAAATAGTGTAAAACGCTCAATAGGGAAGAATAAAGAACGAGGAGGTGGTTATGCGTGCTGATGCTAACACTTCAGGCCTGTATGCAGCCTTTTTGCTATGTTGTCTGAGTTGACTGAAAAAACAACAATTACCTTTGCCTTTTATGGTGGTTATGGATTTGGAATCACTCCAATTTCCCACTCCTCGACTAGTTACCGCAGCAACCTTTTCAAATAAGAGGGTTAGTTAATATGAACAAATGTACGCCGCCAACATCGTATAATGCAAACAGAGAACGAGGTTAGAGCAAGGTTACGGACGTGGCGGAGCTCATGGGAGAAGGACTTTGAAGCAAACAATAGCTTAATTACTTGGCAATAAAATGCTTATTACAGAGATAAAGCAGACTACTTTAAGTCAATTAAAGGAATCTAAGAGGAGGGAGGTGCATCCTCATTGCAGATAACCACCCTCTTATGAGATCTTTATGAGGAGTCCATCAAGATAAGGAGCTTTGGGCTCTATCAGCCATAGCGTAGGTAAGAACCGCGCCAGTAAAGTCCACGTGAGCGCTGAATCCAGCTCCAAAAATTTATTTGGGAACAGGTTAGTACAGGAAGGAATACCAAGGAAGGAAAGGCTCGCTCCCACCGTGTCAGAATAACACTGATTCATGGACGGGGAGAGGGTTTCATCCCACCTCCCAGTGAACTCCCCCGAGAACGCATGCTCATTCAGCACAGGGAGGATGGCCAATGGCAGAGTATACATTTCCCAGGGCCCAGTGTGCAGACTTTCATTTCCTATTCTTCTTAGTTCTGTCTATAACTACCCAGCTTCTCCCATGTGCACATATTCCCCGCAGGCACATCTGCTTCTTTTCCCAGTGATACAGTCAGGACCAAATTTATCTCTGGCCCAGATGCAGTGCAATTGCAGTGACATTGGAATGGGCAATTAGTAGTGCAGATTTCATAATGCAGCCTGGCCTTCTAGGAGAAGGAGCAAATCAAGGGCCTTAATTCAGGCCTTGAAACTATATACACTAGCAGTGCAAATGCCAAGCCCCCATTGTGGGTTGACATTAAAGGGCAGAATTTTAACAACATACTTTTTTAGCAAGTACTTGACTGTGCAGGACTTAGACTATCTAGTGAAAAGTAATGAGAGCATGCATATAGATAGAGCTTTGCAAATACTCACTCTAACTGTGTATAACGTGTTGACCTGTAAGTTCTTGATCTCAGTGTAGTTCCTGGTGGTTCTAAGGGACGACCACTCCTTGGATCCAGTCCTGCTGTATTCCACCTAGGAGCACCAAAACAAGGGATGAGGGCTCCACAGTCAAAAATACCATGGGGTGACAGGTCCCTCTATGTCAAAATCTCAGTAGAAAGAAGTACGAAAGCTTAGAAAGGGAGCCAGAAATGAAATTATGAACCTGAGGGCTGTGTCGCTACCTACAGCATTTCTTCTCCCAACTTGCCCAATGCTCTCAGCAGATTTCCTCTACGAAATGTCCTATTCCTGTCCCACCTCCCTCTGCAGATATAGCTGTCTTCAGAAAGGCCAGCTGCCCTCAGCAGCCTTCCCTGTCCCACCACCCATCTGGGCTCGGCCCCGCCGGGCAGCAGGACTCACGATGAACTCCCGTATGAGGCCGTGGGCGTTCACGGGGGGACTCCAGCAGCCCATCACCACGCCCTCAGCTTCTTTTTTCAGGGACAGCTGAAGGTTAAAGGGAGCATCTGGTACTAGGGAGAGAAACAGAGGTGTTAGTGACAGTCACAGTTGGTGTGTCCGGATCACATGGGGAAAAGCAGGGTCTCCCTGAAAGGTTGGGACAGAGGGGGAACGGCCAAGCGGTCCTGGCTCATGGGAGATGTCTTCTTCCTGCAGTTGTGTCCCAAGTCCCATTCACCCCCCTCTGGAGCAATAAAATGACTTTTTAGTGACTGTGGTGAAGCTAGGATTTTGCTAAGCTCTTTGCTTTATTTTGCATCCCTTCCCTAACCTGACCTACGCTCTGCAGCTAGAAAGTTCTTGCTCCTTGCATGTGGTACTGAACAGTCCCATGGGCTCCCCACTGCACTGTGAGAAGAGATGAACTTCCCAGTGATACTAAAGCACTAAGTCATGGGCAAGAAGGAGGGCAGGTTGGTGACCCAATGCAGGACTGACTCCAGGCAGGGAACACCGCCCAGCACAATTCCCAGGCCTGTAGAAAGACTCCTTCTGTTCGTAACGGGGATACCTCTGTGGTATCTACTTCCTAAGCCGAAGCGGAATGCATCAGGTCACTGATGGGGCTGTGCAGGTCTGCTTACATCCTTCGGGTGCCCGGAGGGTGATGAAGTCATTGGTGTTGTAGACTCGGCTGAGACACTGCACTTGGACTTTCACCTGATAGGTACAGTCAGGCTTGAGGACTTTCAAAACGCTGTTGGTTTTGTTGCTGTGGGTTTCCAAAATCTTCCAAATGCTTTCACCGACTACCCTGCGTGAGAGAGTCACACCCCCGCAGTCAGGACGGTGCTTAGTAATGAAGGGTGACACCATCTACCTGTATGTTAAGAGCTTGCTGCTTGGTTTCCTTTTCAGTCAAGCCACTCTACCTGCTTGAAAGGATGCTCTCTTAAAGCCTGACTAAACATAGCTTAGTGACTTATAAGCACTGTCCTCTGAGGTTTTCTATAACTGCTGCGCTCTAATTTCTTGACTTTGTTCTCGTTGTTAGCGGTCCCACAAAGACAAGACCTGAGCAGAAAAATACCCCAAATATAGCCACATTACTGTCTGAGTAAATAATCTGGTGGAAACAAATACAGCTCTCCACAAATGCCCCCTAGTTACAGCTATTTTGGGTTGTCTTTGCAACAAAGTATTAGAAGATTTTCCAGGCAGAACTAGACTGCGCAAGCTCTCGGTCTTTCAGGTCTGATTCTGTAGGGTACTTTGCTGTAAACATGGGCATACTGATACCTGTGCTCATGCTTCTCCTAGCCTTCACTTGATATGAATAGCAAAGGGTCACGCAGCGTAACGCGCGGTGTACCTGTAATAGATGTTGTAGACACAGGAGGTCGAGGACATTCTTTTTGGCCGAGCCCACGTCAGAGTGACATCGCCGGAGAAATCGGCTGTCCACTGGAGGTTCTGGACTTTGTACACGATTGTGTCATCTAAGCAGGCAACAGGAAAAGTTAGTCTATCAGAGGCAAACAAGCCCTTTGTCCAGAACAGAAACAGGAATTATGTTCATAGCACAAACAACATGTGGAGGTAGAAACAGTAATACGACTGAAGGGAGTATTTGCCCCACTCAAATTAGATGTGTAATTTAGGTGGGCGTTATTGGTGGAGAAGAGCGGTCTCTTCAGAAGGCAGTTCAGAGCAGGAACGTACCGCTGGTGCTCTTAGTTCTCCCCAAAATGTCTTGGTTGTCTTTATGCTGCACCATGCAAGCATCCCCTTTCCCCCAAGGAAAGGTAAAGTATGGCTGTTGATGAAATACTCTTTAACATCATTTTGAAAGTGCATGAGTGCAAACTGATCAGTGCAAGCTAAGTCACTCTTCTACTTGTGCGATGAATCTGTGCTGTCACCGTAAGCCACCCAAGGCTTTTCTTTGCGTAGTTCTCCTTATCACATCTCGCATTCAGCAGAAGGACCCGAGCAAAGGCTGATAATTAAGGCAGCAGTCTGGGGACTGCCTTCATGCGAGCTCTGCGGCTGAATCGCTGCCCGACCTTGGGAAAGGCACTTAGGGGATAACAGACTGTGAAATCCAGCGCCGGCAGTGGTGGGGACTCGGGTGCTTATCTGAAACAGCCCAAATCCATGCCCTGCTCCCGCTAGGCCAGTCCCTGCTCTCTCCCTCCAGGGACCGCGTGTCAGAGCCCACATCCAAATGCCGTGGCCTGGCCCCGTTCGGGTGCCCAGCTTCATTCCCAGTGCTGTACAGAAACCAGGCGGAGTGGAGCCAAGATGCTGCCGCTTTGCTTTCCCTAACCAACTGGAAACGAAACCCAGCAGCACACAGGTCCGCAGACAGGCACGGCAAGACAAGCTAGCCAAGGGAAAAGAGATGGTTTCCCCTTGAGCTGTGAATCTCGGCAGCTCCTTCCCCCTCCCCTGAACCTGCTAGCTTCTCCCAATCAATATTTAATTAAAGAACTAAAACCTGATTGATGCTCAAACCCCCAAGCAGTTCAGCAGAAAAGCAGCTGAATCTCATGGCTGGCCAGAGACAGCGATTGATCGCTGTTATCTGCCCAGGGCGGGCTGCGGCGTGCAACCCACCTCCCTCCGCAGGGCCACTGAAGGCCAGGGTGGGAGGACCAGCGATGGTGCTGGGGCACGTGCCACGGCTCCCAGGGTCACCTTGCAAAGGAGGACAGAGCTGGAGACTGTTGCTTCACCCGTGGGCCATGTAAAATAGGCAGATTTGTTCCTACCCGTCCTAAAGTTGGTTTTCTGTGTCTGAGGCCGCTGGAAGATGAATTGTCAGTGTAGAAGCTGGACGGGAAGTTTGTCCTAGCTGGTTATAAATGGGCAAGGAGGCAGCTCGGAGAGCTGGACAGAGGCAGATACGTCCAGGATGTTGTGAATGAAAGGTCACGTATCCAGGAGAGCACCTCTGCGTGCTAGCACAGAGCAGAGCATGAGAAATGGGAGAGGGCTGCTGCTTACCGGTACAGTTCCTCTCATCGCTGCTGTCTGAGCAGTCCAGATATCCATCACACCGCTCTGTCACCATAATGCAGGCCTCTCCGTCCTCGCATTTATAACCATTAGGGCACAACAGGGTGCTGTGAGTAGCTGAAAGAGGCAGAAAGGTTTCAGAACTCAAGGCAGGAACGTTCTCCCACCAGCACTGGGCAGTTTGCAGTGCCAGTGCTAGTTCACAAGCAGGCATGATGTCAGGGATGGAGCCCAGACTGAGTGTGTCAGTCATAGGGCTATCTCGTTCTGGCTGCATCTTCTGGCATGATCACCCATGGTGGTGTCAGAAGAACCTGGAGCTTATCCCACTGAAAACAACAGCTGGACTTCTAATGGGAAGGGCACTGGTTGTTTGGCTTTTTTTCCCCTTTTTTACTCTAATGCTGCATTGACTGCATGGATTCCACCAGCAATAAAACTCCTCGGTGGCTCCCCCGTCCTCACAAAGAGCTTCCCAAGGGAAAGAGCCAGGCGAGACGCTCTCCCCGCCCCGCGCTTACGGCAGTTCCTCTCGTCCGTGCCATCCTGGCAGTCCCGCAGGCCGTCGCACCGCTTCCAGTTGGGGATGCACTTGTGCAGCTGCTGGCACTCAAACTCGAACCTGCTGCAGCGTCCCAGGAGCGCCGGGGAGGTGGCCGTCACGTTGGGTCCTGCACACAGCAGCGAGTGAGGAAACCACCCAAAGCACAGCCAGGCTGCCGCTGCCACCAGGAGGGACCAAAACCTGTCCCCAGGTCCCGGCTCCACTAGATGGCAATCTCTTCCCATCTAGCAGGTAAATGGCTTCTGCTGGGATGATGCCTAAGCCATCCTCCCTCCTGACTGCAGAGGGCTGGAAAAGCAACTGGTTTGCAGGGGATGTCCTGCGCCGGCTCAGAGCTCAGCAGGCCTTATCAAGGACCGCAGAGAGAAAAAACCCTTTTTCACCTTCAGCGTAGGTGTGAGCTGGAAACCAACCCTGCAGCCCCGCTCTCCGTGCCCCTACGCAGTCTGAGACGTGACGGCATTTGAGCACGGACGTGCTGCGGCAGTAATTCATGCTGCCTGCGGGGCTGGAGCAGTGTCCCAGCTGGTAGCAGGAGCTCTGACCCCAGGGAGAGAGGAGACAGTGGGCTTTTACACCACGTAACCCTGTAATCTGGCAAGGTTCTGAGACTGAAAGGCCAACAGATGTGATCCTACAGAAAAAGGAAAGAGGTGAGGAAGAGAAAAGCTTACGTGAAGTAGGGCAGGCTTCCTCGTCGGAGCCGTCGGTGCAGTCCTTGTACCCGTCGCAGACCCAGCTGTTCATGATGCAGGCACCACTGTTGCAACGGAAGTGATTAGGTAAACACGTCGGTGGGGTCGATGTAGTAATGGGATGAACCGGAGAACCTAAAAATACACCGTTCAGAGCTGACCTGAGAGGCTGGCTCCTGCGTACGGGCTGTAAGCTGTGCCTGTTCCCAGCAGACTGAAAGCCACTATCAGCAGAGGGAAGTGGGGAGCAGGCAAGGCACTGCAAGCCCAATGTTTTCATCTATGTTAGAATCATAGAATCATAGAATCATTAAGGTTGGAAAAGACCTCTAAGATCATTGAGTCCAACCATCAACCCAACACCGCCATGCCCACTAAACCATGTCCCTAAGCGCCTCATCTACACGTCTTTTAAATACCCCCAGGGATGGTGACTCGACCACCTCCCTGGGCAGCCTGTTCCAAGGCTTGACAACCCTTTCAGTGAAGAAATTTTTCCTAATGTTCAATCTATGCACTGTATCTGCGCATCTCCTAAACAGGATTTCCAAAATCACAGAGTAAAAAGACACATGAGAGTGCGCACACAGCCCATTCATGGGGGATTTTTGGAGCCACAGGGGCTGGCGCAGGCTGTCCCAAGCAGCTCTGCGGGAAGGCAGCGGATGCTGAAAGCGGTTCTTGAGCACGCCGCAGCCCAGCCTCGGCCAGGGCTCCCGTGAGCTGAGCAGAGCGCTGTGTGCCCTCACCCTCGCACTCCTTCTCATCGGACCAGTCCCCGCAGTCATTCTCCTCGTCGCACTTCCACCGGTTGGGGATGCAGTGCCCGTTCCCGCACTGGAACTGGTAGTACCGGGAGCAGTTCGGAGCCTCTGTTGGGTTTTCTGACAATGAGAGGAGAGTGCCTTGAGGCCCAGCGTTATCTCACCAGTCTTCAGCACAGCTGAGGTGTGGGAGCGTCTCAGGCTAGGCTAAGGCTGAGTATCACCCTGTCTATTCCCCTAGCAGTACAGGCAGGGTCCTTTCTCTTCACCTCCAGCATCCCCATTCCTTACAGCCCTCGCTAGCCTGTTGCCACCACTATTATGTCGGTGTGCTGGATGCTTCATGGCCAGACACCACCTATGATCTGAGAACCAGAGCTGACAGTGAAATTCAGACAGAGCATGGCAGAAACGGAGATGCAAACCCTACAACTCTGAAATGAAGACGCAGCTGCTTCGTCTGGCTGGGTACAGCTCCTACAGCTACCCAGGGAACAGTGGTAAATATTGAGTTTGGCTGAAAACTGCCTGTCTGCTTTAGGCTGGGAATCTGTGGAGTAAATATGGGCACATATGACTTAGTCAAACACAGGATATGCCAGCCATATCGGATTTTCAGTGTGCTTCAGTTTACCTACCTGCAATATGAGGAAAATAATACTGATCTCCATGTAAGATGCAAGTGGAATGCTACACACATGTATATGTACCTACACACGAGTCCATATGTAAAACATGAAGAAGCCAGTACTCTATGTTCCTGAAATTCAGAGGAGGCTGGAACTACGGTGACAAGAGACCCTGAGGTACTGCTCACCACAGTTTGCTTCGTCAGAGTAATCGCCACAGTCATCCATCCCATCACACTTCCACACCAGGCTGATGCACACGCCGTTCTGGCACTGGAAGCTGAACTGGTCACAAGTCCGGTGGAACTCAGGGTCCTGGGCTGCAGGGGTGGCACAGAGAGACATGGGAGGTTTAGTGTAAAGACCAAGGGCTTGAGAGAAGCTCATCATTGAGGAGGAAGAAAGGAGCACGCTCAGAGGTAATAATGGATTTATAAGCAGAGCAGTCCAGAGCCACCTCTTAGGAGATCTGGCAGCTTTCTGGTACCCTGGGGAATGCACTCTCCTCTCCATGCCTCTGGTTTCATTCTCTCTCCAACCCTCCTTTTGCAAAGATGCACAATATCACGCTTACAGCAGCCAGCATAGTTGGCATCTTCATCTGATCCATCTCGACACTGGATGATGCCGTCGCATACCATGGAGTGGAACAAGCACTGCTGTCGGTTCTTGCACACGAAATCCATGTAGCGGGTGCACAGGGGTTCTGGAGAAACAAGAGGTCAGGAGGGGAGGCGATGGCACCTCTGCTGTCCTTGGCAGCACAAATGCCACCACGGTAATCTGCACAGACCTGAGCGCAGTGGCTGGATTTCAGGAAGTTACAGAAAGTTTCCAAGACAAATCGCTTGAGCTCTGTCCCTGCACAGGCTGCCCTCGCCCAGTAACGCGTCGGGGTGCCAGCGGGTTGGCACAGGCATCAGGAAGGGTTTGGTCACCTCCCTGAATACAGCTCCTGACAGCGCGCCCTCCCCATCCGTCACAACCCTGCCTACTGCGCCTTTTGCTGACACTCGCAGACCGGCCGATTTCCCAGGGGGCTCGTGAATGCTAACAAGGCTTTCCCATTATCTCACCAGGGCTTTTCTCCCGGCGAGACAGGCTTTGGCAGACCGTGAAGGCTGTCAGCCCTTGCTGCTGGGGGCCCCGCCAGCTCCCCGCAGCCCCGGTACTCACCACAGTGCTGCTCGTCCGAGGCATCGGAGCAGTCGTTGATGCCATCGCAGTGTTTGCTGGTTGGGATGCAAGTGCCATTTGGGCACTGGAAGCCGTTGCACTTTTTTTCTGAAATTCAGAATTGGGTGGATGTTGTGCGTTTTTTTTAAAGCTGCTTTTAGTTAGCCACAAAAACCGATGGCACAGCCCCAATTGCCTTCTCCCTGTGTCTGCCTGCTTTTGGGGGGATGGGAATTGTCCCCCCGAGTTTACTGCCGGTTTATCTCAGCAAGTTTGTAGAAATCCCTCCCGCCTCGTGGCAGAGTCCCCTCCGCACACGCTCTGCATTACCGCAGTTGGCAGGGTCCTCATCGGAGCCGTCCTGGCAGTCGGCGTCGCCGTCGCAGGCCCAGCGCTGCGGGATGCAGTGGCCGTTCTGGCACTGGAAGCTGGAGGCCTCACAGGTGTGATATACTGCTGAAACCAGAGCCGGGGGGACCGCCTGAGCGCGGGGCATCGCCGCCTCCCCGCTGAGCTGCGGTGTGCGTTGAGCCGGGCCCCTGCTCGCTCCGCCTGCACCAGGACTTTACACCGTGGCAGGTCCCAGCACTGAGCACAGCTCCAGAGCACAAGTGACGGCCCGGTGGGCCCCAGGCAAGAGACTGCCGGGAGTCCACAATCTCCCTGGGTCTCTTTTCTTCTCCGTGCCATGCTTGCTGACAAGCCTGCTGTGCCTCAGGGATGGCTTTCAGAGGCTAGCGAGCCCTCCCAAAGCTCTCCCCAAGTCAGGAGCCGCTTTCCCTTTGATCTCGGTCCTTGGTGTGTGTGGGCAAAGGTGACGGTGGTGGCGTCTTGCCAGAGATGGCAAGAAACGACACAGCGAGCAAGCACACCTTGGCAGAGCGGCAGGGGCCCTCGTGCAGGGCAGGACAGACTCAGTGACAGCCTTTAATTATGGCAAGCGAGGCTTTTCCGTGTTGCCAGAGCAAATTAGAAATACAATTCTCCTTGGGTTTCCAAAGGAGTAGGGCCCTGGCTTTCCTTAGGCTCCTGTCATGAAAATATCTGCCTGTGGGGTATCTTGGTTGAAGACTAGTGTATGCTGTCACTTTGGAGACAAATGCCACTCTTCAACCAGGAGACCACTCATCATTATTGAGAAGAAAAGCAATGTCCAACTTAATTAAATTGCATGCTACTGCATTTTAGGTTAGTGAGTGACATGTACTTGCAGATATTTCAAAATACTACAATCCTGTGGCAGTAATATTCTATTAGGTATTCAGTGTGAAATGTAATTATTTTAGATAAGAGCAATAATTGCAGCAGGTGGAGTCAGATGAAATGTTTCTCAAATAATTGTGATCCTCTTAGATAATTTCAACTGTAGGCTTTACGCACCTGATATGCTTTTTGAAGTAGGTTCCTTTCCTCTAGTAATTCTCTCTGGAGAAACTCATATGAGAGATAAATGATACCAATATAAATTAAACCTTCTTAATATAGCCATGCACTTGGAATACTAACGACTACAATCCCCAGCGCCACGCTATATACCCCGTATGCTCGAGGCACCGCAAATGCCGCAGGGGGTGAGCACACAGGAGCTCGGCGGCCTGAAAGGGATCTCCTAGATCCTTGTGCCAGAGCCCCAGGACAGCAGCCAGCCTCTGTCTGTCCCAGCGGCTCTGAGGCTGCAGCCAGAGCAAAGCAGCTGCCAGCATCCCCGGGGGCTCTCATGGTCCCCACAGGGCTCTCCCAGTCCCGTCTCAGCCACGTGGCATGGAAACCACTGCTTTTATCTTGAAATATCCCACGTACTGCTTCACAAGTGTGATCTTATGCCTTTCATTGATGGACTGAAGCACTGCCTATGCTCAGAACTCTCTTCTTCTCATGCAAATACTTAGGTTTTTGCCTTGGTTGTTTTTTTGGACACTGTGGTGCTGAGGATGGTTGAGTGTTGTGACTTTCAGCTGCAAATAGAGAATGAGGCTGAGGAGCGTAGGTCTTGCTGCATGAGAGGCGTAAACTAGGAAGAATACTGCTTCTGGCAACCAGGTTGCATCAATATGAGTTGTAAGCAAAACCAAGAGCGGATCTTCCACGTGTGACTCCGTACTCATGACACCCTCTTTAGATTTCCAAACCCATGGAGCAAAGTGGCTGCTAGAAAAGGAGCCACTTCTCAAACTAAATCTGCCTCTCCGTCAGATCAATTAACTGCGGAGAAGCTGCAAAGAACCTGTTTTCTGCAATGTATTTAACGGCAAGAAAATGGTCAGAGTTCAAGCTGTGAAATGCGATCAGCACACAGTAGCCTGTTCGCTGCCTCCGTGCAACAAGGGAGCCCTTTTTGCACAGAAGCATCCTTGGGCTGCCCGGCAGCCACAGACCCGCTTCCCTGTTCAATGAGGCTTCAAAGGCAGGGCCACCGCCGGCTAGTACGCAGAAGGTGGACGGCCCTGAGGCCACTGCAGCAATGCGCGCCTGTCGGTGCAATCTTGCAAGTAAAAAGCAAAGCTAGATCACTCTGCAAGCACTGCAAAGCTGTCAGCAAATTCACAGCGAGCCCTAAGGCCTGTTGAAGGCACTGGAGGAAAGAAACCCTTCACTTTTGGAGTGTTACCTCACCCCGAGCTGAGCTACGGGCTGCCCTGCTGGGCGGCTCAGCTAACAAGCAGGGAAACTGAGGCAGAAGATGTTGGCTGGTATCTTACAGCACCTCAGGCTGTAAGTAATCAGCGTTTGCAACAGAAGGTTATTGATCACATCAAAGTGCTTACCAGTGCAGTTTGCTTCATCGGACCAGTCCCTGCAATCGTTATCACCATCACACATCCAGGAAAGACGAATGCACATCCCTGAGCTGCAGCTGAATTCATCGTTTCTACACTGGTGAGCCTCTGCAAACAAGCACACACAGTTCAGATGCTGTTGGGGCCAGGGCAGAGGAGGAGGAAAGCTTCATGTGGCCTATTGACCAAGGAGAAGAGGCTCATATCTCAGAGGCGACAGCCTACACAGCCCTGCAAAGCAGAGTCGTCTTGAAAGCATGTTTTCCTGCCTCATCCCTAGCCCTGAACGACCAAGAGCTACTGCCTTGCTGTTTACCAGCCTCTTCTCTCCTTCAGTTCAGCACCCCACCTCTTGAATGGCTAAGCTGGAGGTGGATGGACGCAAACATGGCAACACCGAGCAACCCATGCTTGCTGGGGAGCTGCCCAAGGTCAGCCTGTAATCTCGACCAAGCATTTGGCTTCGGGTCCCAGGAGTACCCAAGGAGCAGAGCAGGAAAGCTGGATGGTAACAGCACAAAAGCCCCCCTGCCGGAGCACAGCGAGGGGACAACCAGCGCACAGCCTCGCTCTCTTCCACCCCTCATTTCCCAGTACCCAGTAAATGATGGGAGGAGGCGGCTGTTAGCCAGGATGGACAGGGGGATCTGGCGAAGCACCGCCTTGCCCTACGGCGTCTACGAGTAGCACCCTGCCCCAAGACACTGCTGGGCTTTCTGCCTTTGCACAGGGACAGGGAAGGAGGCTTGAGTGAGGGCACTCACCACAGTGACTTTCATCGCTGTTATCCCCGCAGTCGTCCTCCAGGTCACATTTGTAGGACAGCGGGATGCAGGTCCCCGAGCCCTGGCAGCGGAACTGGGTCTCGGCATCACACACGGTGGTGGCTAACGCAGCGGGGAGGGAGAGGAGGAGGAGAAGGAGGTTAAGGTGGTGGTTAGAAAAGGGTTTCTGCTGCCCAAGTGCGTGTACTTGGTGCAGGGAAGGGAAGAGAGAGGATCAGCATCCTGTGAGCTTTGCTCAATGCAGCCTGAGTTACTGTTACTGTGTTTTAATGTCATTATTAGGCACTCCGCATAAAGCAGAGCAGAGAGGGGTTAGCTGTCTGTCTGGGGATTGGGACTGAAGCTCCTGCCACCGTCACATCCGCTCGCGAGCCAGGGGCAGTGCCTCCCAGCCAGGGAGCAAGAAAGCTGAGGCTGTAGAGCTGCCTGCTTCCCACAAAGGGGCTTTGAAACCACGGGTGGTGGGATGATACAGGGCAGCCAAAGGAGGGGAAAAGCTGGGCATGAGCGTTGCTAGCCAAGGCAGCATTGCTGTGCCAAATTGGCGGCCCCCCAGCGAGCCCCTGCAGAGGAACAGGTACCCACAGAGGCTGTCTCTCACCTGGAGCCAGGCAATGAACTCAAACTTGGACTCTGCTGACTGGTATCTCAATTGACAATGCTGGCAGGAAAATAAGCTCCTTATCAGTACAAAAGGGGCATAAATGGCATCTCTCCAGGAACACCTGATTCTCTACCAATTCCTAACTTTAAACCCGGTCCTTTTTCCACAGTGCGCTAATCTAACCCTTCAGGCTCTGCAAAGCTGTGGAACATCTGCCTCTCTTGCACGCATTGGCAGTCCCTAATTTTACTCAAAAAGGTGACTTCTATCTTTAATGTGTGAACTCAATTTATTAGCTCAACAAGAGGTCCGCATGATGCAGACAGAAAGTCACTCGGCATTGGCTGTGCCCTCAATTAGCCTCGGAGGACAATTACTGCAAGAGACAAACACACATCTGCACATGACAGCTGGCATCAGTCTCAGCGAATTTTAGACATTTACACCTGAGCTGCTGAAGGGGGAAATATCGGCCCTTGCAGGACACAACTCATCCGACCAGCTTCGGATGTCTACCAAAGGAGGAGATGAGTTGCATTCCCAGAGTGCCTCTTGCTCTCCATGACTATGAAGGGAGCGTAGACCATCGGCTCAGGTGCAATGCTGACACAGCAGACATCTAAATCTGGACGGGCGAATGCCACGGCAGGACACTTACGGCAGTTCTTCTCGTCGCTCATGTCCCCGCAGTCATTATCGTTGTCACACTGCCAAATGCTGTTTATGCAGTTCCCATTGAAGCATCTGTACTGGTTTGGCAGACACGTGTTTTCTGGTGCAAAAGGGAAAACAAAAACAAGCTGGCATGAGGCGTGACGCTGCGCTTTCAGAAGACAGGCCATGCTCCTCCTCGCCCAAAGGGCAGCGGAAAGGTCACGCCGACCTCTCACAACAGCAGAAGCCACCTCTCAACGTAAAGCAGCAGCAAGAACCAAGCATGGGTTTACCTTCCTTTATGCAAGTGGTGTTCTTCATGACGTAGCCGTGAGGACAGTCGCACTTCACCTCCCCTGTGGGCAGCACGGTGCTGGACACCCCCTCGGGGCACTTGCAGCTCCTGCCGTTGTTCGACTTGGGCAGGCAGAGCAGGCTGCAGGGCTTGGCGATGCAGGCATTCTCCCCTGGCACGAGGGCAGGGAGGAAGGGGACATTGTCAGGGCAGAAGACAATTTCACCTGCCACCCCAGGCTTTGGGTTCAGACCCCCATTAGGAGCCATCTCTGCAGCACCAAGTGCTGAGGCTGGCTTTAGAAATGCACAGAGCCATCTGCTCCAGGGAGATCAAGGGCCTTAAAAAGGTCCTCCCAGTCTCTTGCAGGCTGCTGACTGGTGAAGCCCACTGATGGTCTTACACCCATCTGAAAATGAAGTCAATCCCTTCAGTGCATATGTCATGCAGGGGCCACGGCTACCTTATTGCAGCCCAGACGGACAAGTAAGTGGAGGACAAAGTTGGTGCAGCTCTGAGACCCTATTTTTTTTTTGGCCCGTACAGCACTTTGCATGGAAAGGCCGTGGTCTGTGACCTAAACCATGAGGTGCCACGGCTGAGCACCATATGGGCTCCCTCCCTGAGAAGGGAGTATCTCTCCTGGCAGCCGAGAAGGCAGGCACACCACTAATGAAACACATTCCTTACTACAGCGCCTGAGTGCTTCAAACCCTGCAGGAATGGGGACATATTCAGGCTCGTGAAATGTGAGCCGGGATGGCCCGGTGGCCTGGGAATCTGTGGAAATGGGGGACAAACACATTTCTAAATCGCAGAAAAGATCATCTGCACACTCACGCGATTACCTGTTGTCTTTCCTCTGTAAAAGATTTTCATATCCATGATCCCATTTAATCGGCCGACTAAGATCTCCATTCTTGAGCCGCTGTTTTTGGATGCTCTGAAAATACTCAGCTGTGACCAGTCGTTCCAGTAGATTTCATTCTGAAACACAGGCTTTGCTCTTAGCGCGAAGAGCAGTGCTGCCGGAGCCGTGCTCCTCAGTGGTTACCTGCACTAAGCCACCCTAACCACCTGGATGTGCAGGCAATCGAGAGTGCAAAGTCTCCCCAACCCAAGGGGAGGAAGATGAGGAAGACCCGAGCTGGGATTTGAGCAGAAATGGAAGCGGCAGTCACATCTGCTGAGTGGCACACAGTCTGGGGAAGATATCGCAGTGCCGCTGCTTGGGAAAGCTGCACGTCTTTTGGATGTTGGTCCCGGTTTCAACCACACCCGCCTGTTCATTTCAGGGGTGCGTGGGAACGTGCCAGGAACAGAAATAGAGCAAGCAGCACGCCTGCTCCTACCCTCCAAATCCAACGGATATGTATGCTATGGAAATGCATGGCGATGGGAAACGAGCCGCTGCATACATACCTTAAATACAGCAATAGCGTAGGGGTGAGGGAGACTGTCCAGGATCACAGATCTCTGCAGCCCGTTGAAATCGACCCTCTCGATCCTGTCCATATAGGCTTCGGTCCAGTAGATCCAGCGGTCATCCACAGAAATGCCGTTTGGCCACCGCACACCCTCCGAAACGATGCACCCGGCCGATGACCCGTCCATGTCGCTTCTGTAAATGCCGGCTCTGGAGTCTCCCCAGTCTGTCCAGAACATCAACCTGACAACAGGCAGAGAGGTTACTCGAAATAGTAACAAAAACAGCTCATCAAAAGGAAACAGATTATGAAGCAGAGGTTCAAATACTTTACATTCCACATCTTTTGCAAGACATGCCTTTGGAAAGGGAGCTCTTTGCATTTCTAGTGAACACCACCAGCGGATCTACAAGCAGCAGAGAGGCTTCTTTAGCTGCAGGTTCTGTGGTGTGAGTGCAGCTGTAGGTTACCTTGCGTTGAACTGCTTTGCTTTAGCACATACGGCTAAAGGCAGCTCAGGTTTGTCAGCGCTACATTTGCAGCGCACCAGCCGCTGCAAAACCGTACTCAGAAAGACGTAACTTGCATTTGGCTCTTGAATTTGAGTGTGGCTCAGTTTCTCATGCATCGCTGCAGCTTTCCCCACTGACCAGACCAGTTTTACTGGCAGGAAAAGTTATTTACTAGTAGATATGTACGGGTAGGAAAACAGCAGCTTAATTGAAAGAAAAAACAGTTTGTGATGTCTGCTCCGAGGCGGCTGACGTCTCAGTTGGGCACGCGATGGCAAGAGTGGGCTCCACGGGGCAGGACTGTGAGCTGTACCCCGCTGCCCTGCCCGCCGCCACTCTCGTCCCACCGCTGCGCCCCTCGGGGCCAAGCCTCGCAAAGCTTTCCGTGCAGCACCCTCCCTCGTGTTTGCCTCTTAGGAGCGTAGCGGTGCAGGAGGGGCTGTACCAGCGCAATTCCTCTGGGGAATACCACGGCACCCGACTACTTGCAATGCTTGCTTTCTTACCCGTCTCGGGGAACCAGAGTGAGGGCTCTGGGTCGTTCGAGTATCGAGGAATTGAGGACGGTGAGTCGCAGGTCTCCGTCTGGATTGGCAACCTAGAGTCGTAACCAAAACCAGGAGGCGTGTGTTTACTGCGGGCAGTATGGAGAGCAATTGCACTGGTTAAAGTTACATGAAATCTGTGGCAGGTAATTACTGCTCCCTAATAAAACAGCTGCCGTGGGCACAGGGAGCAGTTACTGTGAGGCAGGTGATAAAAGAGGATAGATCGGTGTATTTATTGACATTCCTGTGTGACTGAGCGAGCAGCCAGCTGCCGCAGCACTCTGTCCGTGCCCCGTTCTGGCTATGTGTACTGAGCGAGGATGTTGCTTTTCCCCCCCTGCTTCTGCTGCACGATTCGGCCTCACAAACTGACCTTGATTTAAGTACACAGGGCTGAATGTTATCATACCCTGTTTGCATTTAGATCCAATAAAGTGGCATGTGGAACGAGGGTCAGTGTTCAGTAATGCCCCACCAGGGCAGTAGCCAACTTAGGGCCCAGCCGCCTCAAAGATGCACTGACACAATCACCTCTGTAGCAGGGGTGGCCATAGCCGTACCTCAATTTTGGGAATCCCGGCGTTGACCCAGTACAGCAACTGACTGAGAGGTTCAAAGGCCAAAGCTTCCACTGTTTCCAGCCCGGTGCTTATGATTATTTCTTGCCCAGAGCTGCTGTTGAGACAAAGACGCTGGGGGGGGGAAAAAAAAAATCAGAATAAAAGATGAGGAATTTCCGCAGCCCCAAGGTGAGCGCGGTCAGGCGTGCAAGGCAAGCCGTAACAGACAGCTCGGAGGGGAGGAGTACCCAAGATAAACACTTGTATTTCGGGGTGTGTACGCAACACGGGCCCCCGCTGCAAGGCAGCGATGACACGGGCGGCCGGCACCGCGGCGGCCTCTCCGCTCCCCGGCTCACCTGTATAATGTCGAGAGTGATGTCGGCCCAGTACAAGCAGTTGTGGTCGTAGTCGAAGTCCAGGGCGACTGCCCCTCGCAGCCCTGCCAGAGGCAG